GAAGAGAGAAGTGACGGCGGCCGTTTAGGATTAGGCAAGGAGTTGGTATTTTCTTTCCTTTTTAATTCTAAGAGGAGTTTGTATGCTAAGCTGCCGTGTTGACGATTTTACCCTCTCAAGTTTCTCAAAGATTTTCTTTAATACGAAATTACAGTCAATAGACTCTAATAATCGTTTAAGACGAAATTAGGTCAAAATTTGTTAATCACTCAATTATCAAATTGCATTTCCTAATTTATTATCTTAATTACGATCAATAAAACGTGTTAAGATCACTTTAAAAATTATTTCGAAACAACCGAACTACGTGGACTTTGATCCCGATTAACTCGGGTACGTAGGCAACCAATAGGTTCGAGTCCAACTAATAAAAAATATTTTCTTTACTTTTTAGATTTTGCGTCAATACACGGATAATCTAATTGTATACCAATTTTAACTCATTAGTCCAATTGGACTCCAAAATACTAATTAAGAAATTTTAAATAATAACTATCTAATTAATCAAATCATATAATTAAATACATAAGAAAGCCGCAAATAATAATACACACAATTCTTAAAAAAAACTTATCGATTTAAGTAGTACCCATTTGGGGCGTTGTGGGGTGTGAATACACTTCCCCACATGTAACCGTACTCCCGAACCCATAAACCTAAATTTCGCAGACCAAATTCCGGTTCTAACCCTAAGGTTGGAACCAGACCAAAAGGTGTTCGATCCACCACAAGTAAGGTCGATAGCGACTCCAATCAATGACGCGACGGATTCCACCGATTTCGAGGTGCGGTTGCGACAGATCACAAATCCAAACTCATCTAAAATTAGTATTACAGGTTATTAGATATGAGTCCGGTCCGTTAGGCGGACAGTTGGATGTTTATGTATAAAAGTATCAAAATTTGAAGTAAATATGTGTCGATGCTTACTTTAGTATTATATTTCATAAAGGGGTTATAATAATATAATAAAGTAATCCAAGTATTTGATTTCTATATATCCATCTTTTTATAAACCTTTAGTTTTTCCTCGCCTATGAAAAATAAATTAGAGTTACCATCTATTTCTTTACTTCTATCCTATGCAACATAAAGAAATGCACCACTACAAATGAAAAAAAAAAAAAAGAAGCAACCCGGCCAATAGGCCGGGCTCCATGCTAGTTTTCGTTTACTAGCCCTGGATATATGCAATGCAAGCCGCTTCTTGACCTAAGTACTTACTAGCGTGGGCCCCGCCATTTGGCCGGAGGAAGATGAGGTATGAAATTTGATAATGTAATGGGGTGTATACCTTATTGTTGTATAGATTTTTTTTTGGAAACACGTGATAAAAATAGTGAATTTTAGTAGGAAAGAGACATGAATGATGCAACGAATCAAAAATCAGCCTTATGAACCAAAATCAAGTACCTGTTACCTTGTGAAACAATATTGTTTCTGGTAATATGATGATGTGGAGTAAGTTTTATAGAAACCGCATTATAGAAAATCGAATAAAAAATCGCCTATCCCGCCGGTTTTCGGGAAATGAGCATCTCACAATCGTTGGTAGCTTTTACTCAGCCCGTTTGGCCGATTAATTTGCTTTATAAAACTTTTATCTTGTCATCATCGTGCTTTCTGGTTTTTTGCCAAGCCATGATAAAATCTAAAGAAATCAAGAATGAACAACACGATTTGGGATAGGAACCACCGTTCCTGTATCCCTAGAAAATGGTGATAAACACGGACTCACCTACCAAACTGGTTTGGATTGAGAATTTTATCGGGTATCAGGGAACCAGGTGATTATAAATTAGACTTGATCAAAACGGGCCAAAACTTGAAATTCAGCCTTTTTGACCGACCCATGCCAAACTCTAATTATTCTTTACTTTTAAACTTCTATTTGAAAATAAAAAATAATGAAAGAAAAGAGATGACTGCAATTCGCCATTTGCACATCACTAATTCGGGAATAAAACTATAGAATTTCGAAAGGAAACTGAAAATGTTTAGGATCGTTTTTAATGTTAAAAATAACCAAATAGATCTTTCTGTTTATTTTTTACTAACAAATACCAAACGATTCCCTATAATATACACTATAATTTAATCATTATGATATCAAATAATTACATAATATATATTTGAAATGATAAAAACGGACTAATTGGGTTGGTCGAGGTTGAACCATTGAATAACTTTAAAATACATTATGGGTTCGTTTGTAGAACAAGATTTAGGATATGGATTCACTGAATCCGTAGATTTTGTAGAAAGTTATGTTTTTTTGTTGCTTTCTGTATTATGGATTCTAGCTTTAGAAATTTCAAATCTCTAAAATCTGTGGATATCAAATCTCTCATAATCAGAGAGATTCTATATCTTGATTCGTGAGATTTTTTCCTCTCCTAATTTTTCTCTTACTTCTATTTATTTAACACATGAAATATATCTATCAACAAATTTTTTAATATTTCTTGAACCACTCTAATTTTTTTTATTAAAGATACAAATTTTATTTAATATAAAATTAATTTTTTTATTTTAATTGAATGTTAACAATCACAGTTACCAAACAATAAGCATTTTAAAATATGTTTTCAACAATCTGGAGAGTTAGAATCTTTAGATTATTGACAATATGTAGATTTAAACTCATATTCTCCAAACGACCCCTATATTTTAGCCACTAAGATATAAAATAATAGCATAATATATATTATGCTAGAGAAAATAGCTTGTTTTAGAATGGCAAACCCATGATGTTCATTTGTCTTACTTGATGGGCAAATCCCGTGTAGGTCAGGCCCATTCAACTCTTTTATTTTATGATTAGCGGTTAGCCCATTAGAATCCATGCATTAGTTTATTGTTAAATTTTTTTCTTTTTAGCAATAAAAAGGAGTATTGTTTTTGCCTTTTCATATATATTTTACCACCACGGAGAAATAAAAGGACTTAAAGAAAAAAATTGACACTCCTAGACCCGTTTAAATCCGCATGTGTACGGTAAGTTGGCCCGTTCCAGAGAGGAAAAAGAAAAAAATTGACACTCCCTATTCTACCCTTCCTACAAACGCTCCTGGAGCAGGGAATTTGAAATGGCGGAAGAGTTTTTCCTCTCTGCGATTTTATGTTTTTAATTTAAAATAATACAACAAATGTACTTAGTGTGATTGGTTATAATCTTCGCGGCCCAATTTTTTTATGCGTGGCAGCTCCAAACTTGTAAACCCTAATGAAGCCGCAGTTCTCTCTTCCACTCCCACTCCCTTAAATCGCAGAGAAAAACGCTTTGGCCCTCTGAGATAGCTTTCGCCACCGATCACCGCCGGTACAAAGGTCAGTTATTCTCTTGAAAAAGCTTTCATCTTTCAAGTTAGATTTGTCTCTGAAAACTGTAGGTGCTGCCTCCATGCTTCATATATCTTTATGTCGACTGCGATTGAATTTGTAAGGGGAAGCTATGTATTGTTTTCTTGTTTCATCAAGCAAAGAGTTACGTTTGGATGTGTTCATGGTGAAAGTATAAGGTTACCGGTTGTGGGAAATTTGTTATTTGCTTTCAATCTAGTTGGTTTCAAGTATTTTGTTGATTGATGTTCTTATGAACAAGATCCTAAAGCTAGAGTGCAGTTTTGGTGCCATAATTCTCTGGTCGTTTCAATGAAATCAATATATGTCTGTTCGATGTGCGGTGGTAGACGGTGCATTGGTAAACGTTTGTAGTTCCAGGTTTCGCGGAGCGGAGAGCGAAGTGGATGAGACTTGTTTCACATTGGGGAGATCAAGGAGGCCCTGGAATTCATTAATGGTGTTTGATGAGAATGATGGCGTGGCGCTCAGGGAAGAAAGAAGAGTTTATTTTTGGAGGAACGGGTGAAAACTGAAAAGAAAAAAACCACCGCAATTGCGGTTATGGAGGAAAAGTCCGGGAGCAACATGAGGGTTTTTTTTTAAAGAAGACAGAAGAAGAATGAATAGGCTTGATGAGAGATAAATCCCATGAACAAAAAAGAGGATTAGATTTGGTGGTTAAAACAGCGGAGATTTTGAAAAATATAAATAAATAATAGAAAAACCAATCCGAAACTTGCGGGGAAGCTTTCTCCAAGAAAGCGCTTAATATATTTATGTAGATAGATGTAGATGTAGATGTAGATAGATGTAGATGGATGTAGATAGATGTAGATGTAGATATACCATATTTCTCGACCAAATTGTTCCGGTCAACGGTCCAGGTCCTGTGCTAGTATATTATAAAGGGATTGTAGATTTTCCTTATTGGACTAAGATTGCAAGTACGCTGACCAAAAGAGCCAAACCCAGCCCAACTGGGAAAAGTTAATCCGCTAACTTGAAGATTCGTTAGCAGATATTAACTGATATCCAAAATACATGAACTAATATCCAAGTACTAAAGTATCTAGAGAGCACAGACTAGTTTTCAAAGTTTGCTAACTGATATCCACCATGAATCAACTATTATCCCAAATTCACAAACTAATATCTAGACAACACAGAATAGTATCCAAACAACACATAGTTAGTATCCAGATAACACATAAGAGTATCCAGATAACCCATAAGAGTATCCATATTGAATACTAGTTGGTTGATTGTGGATATTAGTTGGTATCTGCTATCTGGATACTAATTTGTGATGTTTTGAATACTAGTCTGTGTTATCTAGATACTTAGCAGACTTGGATATTAGTTCATACATTTTGGATATTAGTTAGTATATACTAACGAATCTTCAAGTTAGCAGAATAACTAGGCTGACCCAACTCAACACTTCCATATCATTTCTTCGTCTCCTTTGTTTTCTCAGCTAAGGAAAGCCCAATCTAAGAACTTCTCAAATTTCAGCAAGTTCATATCCAAAAGGAAATTAAGAAGTTGTTTGGATGAATTAAATGTCAATGTGGTATTTGTAGGATCACATAATATATATTAATTGTCCTATTCTGATCCGCTTCTAAATCTTCCAAGGCCTCCGATATACCAAGTTACAATGTCATCTTTTTCTTCGAAGATGTACCTTTTGGAATGTCGACGAATGTTCCGACGAATTCCCTGTATAGACTCGTAATCGTACTGTCCACAACGTTAACGTAAACATCAAACTTCACGTAATCATTTGCTTTCACGTCAATTCCTTCTACGATCAATATCTCTTCCAGTTCTTTTTTATTTCTCCGATTCCTGCACCAAGCCTCTCTCGGTCGGTCTATCGGAATCGTTACGGTCGAATCAAGAACGCGACTGGTTGGCCCGAAACGTTTGCTGGGAAGGTCAAGAACACCCCCTCTCTCTCCCGGATTTCTCGCCGAGCGACTCGGGTCGAGACCGAGGGCTCCGGCCGGGCGGTGAGCTAGGCGTTTTCGATCACCTCGCACCGGTACCGGAGCTTGTCCATCTCCACCACGTCGCTGAATCGGATCCGAACCAGCCGGAGCGTCTCGTCATAGAAGTAGGTGTAGGAATTCAGGAACGCCGGGTCGTCAAAACCCTTGTGGGTCGCGCTCCACAATCCCACAGGCGGTCGCCGTTGGAGTGGTGGGCATAGAAGATCGGATCTCTCGCCGTGACGTGGAAGGCGCCCATGTACATCAGCGCCAAATTGAGTTGGATCTGCTCCTCCGGCGTAGATCAGGTTGGATCCAGCTTCTTGAAGTTCAGGTCCACCACGGTGGGCACATGAGTCGGTCGCGGCGGTGGTCGTTGAACGACCCGTTTAAGTAGAACTCCGGCAGGGTCATCCTGTCGGGTGAATCCCAACCCCAAAATGGCAACGCGAAGGTCTCGTTGCCGATCAGGCTCCCGAGGATCCTCTCGTGGAAGTAGAGGAATATCCGGTGGCCGGTGCCAAGGGAAGAAGAGCCAGTTCTTGTGGACCTGAACCGGGAAATCTGAGCCCTGCTGGAGAAACGACCCGGTGCAGTACTAGATGTGGATTTCAACCTGTTGGGTAAAGCTTCTCGGGTTGGAGTGCGACAGAGATTTCATGATGGAAAGCGCCTTCTCGTACTTGGCCATGTAGTCGTGTCGTCGAGCCGGTGAGCGAAGCGGCGGACCCGAATTGGGGTTGTTGCCGGGTCGGGGAACTCGAAGTCGGATATCGGGTCGTCTAGCATGGTTCGAGGCGGGCAGCAGTTGACCAGCTTCCCGGGTCGCCCGATTGCCGGGAGACACGATGATAAGTTGACAGCGAGGGGTTGGATATCGATTTTCCCATTCAGACTGGTAGGGACTAACCACCCAGTCAAACCGTCGGGTACAACCCGGTTTAGCTTCCTGAAAGTAAGTAAAGAAGAACAGAGTAATCAGAAACCATGGGGAACGTACCCAAGAATTTGAGTGTTGATTGCGGGAGGATCCAAGAAAAGAGAAGCACCGAGATTGCATGTGAGGCAGTGAGGTGATGAGTGAGAGAACCCATTTCCGTGGATCCGTGAAATGTGAGGAAGAGGCCATAGACGATCTGCTGGTCACACTGTGATCTCTGCTGTCGGTGACTTGCCCATTAATAAGAAGACAATGTTGATGGAGAAAGAGAGGGAAAGAGATGAATTCATGTGATTCACGAGTCTGCAAATAATTGAGAGCTTAAAAGGTGTGAAATGGAGTATGTGGTGGCGTGGAGAAGGGAGGTGGTGGTTTGAACTCGACTGTACGATGGAGTTTGAGAAGGGACCTGGAGCGGAAGCCGGGTCTCCAGTATGAGGGCCAGAAGGTGAATAGATAATAGCAATGGCGAATTTATTGTGTTATAGTAATCCCGTTGTTTTTTCCACTTTTCTTCACCAAAGTGATGGGCAATGGCTCGTTCAACTTGGCATACCAGATTTTAAAAATGGATTTAAGAAATAAAGAATGATTGGTAGCATCTTTCGGCAAGGGGAAACAGAAGAACGACTTCACATCTCGATAGCAGCATGGAGATTTACGAGAGCTGTAACGCTACACATCTCGATGATGTTCCTATCCTCAACAGGCCTGTCCAAGAGCCCCGGTGTATCGATCACCTGATACCTCAGATACTTGTAGTCCGTATGCCCCACAAAGAGCGATTTCGTGGTGAAAGCATATGGCTGGACCTCCACATTAGCCCTAGTGATCTTGTTCAAGAAAGAGCTCTTCCCAACATTGGGGCACCCACAAATCAAGATCGTTGGAGCGCCCATGTTGATCGAGGGAAGCTTCACCATGTGCTGTCTGACATGTTCGAGGTAAGCCAAGCTCGACCCAATACGCTTGGTCACAGTACACACACGGCCAAGTGCAGCACGCTTCAATGACTTGCACCGGTAGAGCGAGTCCCCATATTTCAAGAGCTTCACATAGTCTTCGCGTATCCTCTTGATGAGATTTCTTGTTGTGTTGAGCTGCCCAAGTGCGAGTTTGTAGTGATCCTTGTTGTAGAGGACGTGAAGGAGGACGCCATAAAAGGGATGGATATCTTCTACTCGAGGGAAATCCTCAATGGTTTTCGAGAGCTTATCAGTGAAGTTGGTTTCGGTGAACTTCACCTTTCGCATGTAGAACTGGCGGACGCGGGAAATTGCATTCCCCTTGTGGATCACCATAGGGGTTTGGCGCTAAGTGCGAGAGAGAACGATGTCGATCAAGTGGTTACCACTTGGGACAACAGTGATCTTCTTGAAATCGTATTGAGCCATTTATCTGCAACAAGCAGAATGGATTTCAACCAACATGGCATCGAAAAGACATATATGATTTCAATGAAACGCACAGAGAATTATGGCACCAAAACTTCACCCTAGCCTTGTTATAGTAGCTTGATCATAAGAACACCGATCAACAAGATAATTCAGAACAACCAGATTGCAAGCAAATAATAAAATTTCCCACAACCGGTAACCTTATACTTTCACCATGAACACATCCAAACGTAATATTTTGCTCGACGAGACAAGAAAACATACAGGGTTTAGCGCATTCAAATTCAATAGCAGCCGATATAAAATATATGAAGCATGGAAAGGAGTCAGAACCTACAGTCTACAGAGGGAAATCTAACTTGAAAGACGAGAGCTTTTTCAAGAGAATAACTGAACTTTGTACCGGCGGTGATCGAAATCTATCACAGATAGCTACACAGCCTTTTCCTCTGCGATTTAAGAGAGTGAGTGCTGAAGAAATAACAGCGGCTTCGTTAGGTTTTACAAGTTTGGAGCTGCCGCGAATAAAAAAAATAGGCCCCTTTGTCCGACTCATGCCCGCTACGGCTGGGCCCATACTAATTTTTAAGTCAATCTATCTACATCTATCTACATCTCTCTACATATACATCTACATATATCTACATCTACATCTACATATACATCTATCTACATAAATATATTAAGCGCTTTCTTGGAGAAAGCTTCCCCGCAAGTTTCAGATTTGTTTTTCAAGAGATGTAGATGTAACTTGAAAGACGAGAGCTTTTTCAAGAGAATAACTGACCTTTGTACCGGCGGTGATCGGAATCTATCACAGAAAGCTGCAAAGCCTTTTCCTATGCGATTTAAGGGAGTGAGTGCAGAAGAAAGAACAGCGGCTTCGTTAGGGTTTACAAGTTTGGAGCTGCCGCGATTAAAATAATTGGGCCCCTTTGTCCGACTCATGCCCGCTACGGCTGGGCCCATACTAATTTTTTTTTGTTAATCTATCTACATCTACATCTACATCTATCTACATACATATATTAAGCGCTTTCTTGGAGAAAGCTTCCCCGCAAGTTTCGGATTGGTTTTTCAAGAGATGTAGATGTAACTTGAAAGACGAGAGCTTTTTCAAGAGAATAACTGACATTTGTACTGGCGGTGATCGGAATCTATCACAGACAGCTACACAGCCTTTCCCTTTGCGATTTAAGGGAGTGAGTGCAGAAGAAAGAACAACGGCTTCGTTAGGTTTTACAAGTTTGCAGCTACCGCGATTAAAAAAATTGGGCCCCTTTGTCCGGCTCATGCCGGCTACGGCTTGGCCCATACTAATTTTTTTTTTGTTAATCTATCTACATCTATATCTGCATCTACATCTGCATCTATATACATCTATCTACATCTACATACATGTACATCTACATCTACATCTACATCTACATCTACATCTACATCTACATCTACATCTATCTACTTCTACATCTACATACAACTACATCTACATCTACATCTATCTACATAAATATATTAAGCGCTTTCTTGGAGAAAGTTTCCCGCAAGTTTCGGATTGGTTTTTCTATTATTTATTTATATTTTTCAAGATCTCCGTTGTAACGCTGCACATCTCGATGGTGTTCCTATCCTCAAGAGGCATGTCCAAGAGCCCCGGTGTATCGATCACCTGATACCTCAGATACTTGTAGTCCGTATGCCCCCACAAAGAGCGATTTCTTGGTGAAAGCATATGGCTGGACCTCCACATTAGCCCTGGTGATCTTGTTCAAGAAAGAGCTCTTCCCAACATTGGGGCACCCACAAATCAAGATCGTTGGAGCGCCCGTGTTGATCGAGAGAAGCTTCACCATGTGCTGTCTGACATGTTCGAGGTAAGCCAAGCTCGACCCAATACGCTTGGTCACAGTACACACACGGCCAAGTGCAGCACGCTCCAATGACTTGCACCAGTAGAGCGAGTCCCCATATTTCAAGAGCTTCACATAGTGTTCGCGTATCCTCTTGATGAGATTTCTTGCAGTGTTGAGCTGCCCAAGTGCGAGTTTGTAGTGATCCTTGTTGTAGAGGACGTGAAGGAGGTCGCCATAAAAGGGATGGATATCTTCTACTCGAGGGAAATCCTAAATGGTTTTCGAGAGCTTATCAGTGAAGTTGGTTTCGGTGAACTTCACCTTTCGCATGTAGAACTGGCGGACGCGAGAAATTGAATTCCCCTTGTGGTTCACCATAGGGGTTTGGCGCTAAGTGCGAGAGAGAACGATGTCGATCAAGTGGTTCCTACTTGGGACGACAATGATCTTCTTGAAATCGTATTGAGCCATTTATCTGCAACAAGCAGAATGGATTTCAACCAACATGGCATCGAACAGACATGTAAGATTTCAATGAAACGCACAGAGAATTATGGCACCAAAACTTCACCCTAGCCTTGGTATAGTAGCTTGATCATAAGAACACCGATCAACAAGATAATTCAGAACAACCAGATTGCAAGCAAATAATAAAATTTCCCACAACCGGTAACCTTATACTTTCACCATGAACACATCCAAACGTAATATTTTGCTCGACGAGACAAGAAAACATACAGGGTTTAGCGTGTTCAAATTCAATAGCAGCCAATATAAAATATATGAAGCATGGAAAGGAGTCAGAACCTACAGTCTATAGAGGCAAATCTA